CCGGTATACGGACGCAATAAGTCAGTAGGACGCAGTATCATTGGTAAATTCGCCCATATAAGACGCAAGATTGCCTCCAAGATTTATATATATATATATATATATATATATATATATATATATATATATATATATACATATATATATATATATATATATATATATATATATATATATATATATATATATATATATATATATATATATATACACATATATACATATATATATATATATATATATATATATATATATATATATATATATATATATATATATTTATAATTAAATAGGAAATAAACAAGGAAATACAAATCATCATTGCCTTCAACTATATTGTAAAGAACTTGACGACTCGCTCGATTAATCAACCAATAATACGTCATACACATTGTCGGTGATAGCTATTTATTTATAGGATTACCAAAATAAGATGCAGCGAAATATTTAAATACAATACGAGGTCTGTCCGGAAAGTTCGTATAAAAGTGTTCTGGAATGCGAGAAAGAGGAGTGGGGAGGCCAGGTAAGCGCAAGACCCCTTCCTTATGTCCCTAACAATGCTTCAGTTCTGGTCTGACCGCCGTGCGGTGCGAACTGGCTTGTCACGCCATCTGTGAAGTTACCTCTTAACGAAACCCCGTCGGCATGGAGCCCGCTTCCGTTGAAGAGCAGCGCGTCGTAATCAAGTTTCTCTCGAAACTCGGCAAGAATGGCCGTGAAATTTTTGCCGATCTCAGAACAGTTTATGGGGATGATGCTGTGAAGGAACCAACCGTCCACAAGTGGCTAAAAAGATTCAGAGAGGGCCGAGACAATGTTGATTGTTTTTTTCGATGTTCGGGGGATTGTCCATCAAGAATTCGTCCCTCCAGGCCAGACAGTTGATGGAAAATTCTAAGTCGATGTGCTCAACGCCTCAAAGCTCGTGTGGCACGAGTTCGTCCAGAATTGGCGCGAGAGGGGCGTTGGATTCTTCACCACGACAATGCCCCTGCCCACACCTCTCTTGTTGTCCGTGAGTTTTTGAGTAAAAATTCCATTACGGTGACCGAACACCCCCCCTATTCGCCGGATTTGGCCCCGTGTGACTTCTTCTTGTTATAAAACCAAATTGGTACTTCGGGGGCGGCATTTGGGGGACATAAATGAGATAAAAAAAGCTACGACGGGGCAGCTGAGAAACCTACAACCAGAGGACTTTCAAGGAGCCTTCTCACAGTGGAAACGGCGTTGGCACAAGTGCATTATGTCACAGGGGGAGTACTTTGAAGGGGATAAAATTGATTTACCTGAATAATTGTAAAATAAAATTTTTAAAAAACTTTTATACGTACTTTCCGGACAAACCTCGTACACTAGTGGATTAGGACTAACTGTTCTTACATTTAGAGGTAACAAAAAATGTTTCTTAAACAGCATGTTTTGTGTTTAAAAAACTTTTTTTTGTTAACTGTCCAATGCTGAACCTAATGTTCAGCATAAGCCAACCTTAACCATAACCTTGCCCATAAGGAGAGTTTTACCAGTAGTTGCCACGCTTGGCAGGCGGGTTGGCAACCGCAGTTAGGTTTAACAGATGTTTTAAGAGGGATACTGCTGCCCATCCCTCTACCATATGCTCCCTTAGTCGCCTCTTACGACACCCACGGGAAACGAAGGAGTGGCCCATTCTAAGGGATCTACACGGCGAAGAAACATTATAATGAGATTAAAATATTGTTGTAAATTGTAAATTAAATTTTAAATAAATAACATGTAATGTTATAAAATGAAATGAATTTAGAAATATATATCTTACTAGATAGATCACACGTGACGAATTAAAGTTATTATAAAAACATGGCTGGTGATCGAACTTTGATTCTCACCTTATCTACTGATTATCTTAGGCTGATCGTAAACGAAAACCAAGTTTGAACAAATACAAAAAAGTAAACGTGTTTGATAATCGCATTTCCACAGATACGTGTCTGAACCTTTATCGATTGATTACTGAACTGAATTAGGTGTAGGTATAATTTTTTTTATTTAATTTTTTTTTTTTATTCAATACTAGCGACCCGTCCCGGCTTCGCACGGGTGCAATACTGATACTAAATAGCGCTGCCGACCCATTAGATACCTCTAAAATTATCAGTGTTTCTCTACAATATTATGCACGTATTATACATATAAACCTTCCTCTTGAATCCCTCTATCTATTAAAAAACCGCATTAAAATCTGTTGCGTACTTTTAAAGATTTAAACATACATAGGGACGGACAGACAGCAACAGCGACTTTGTTTTATACTATGTAGTGATGTATTATTTATGTAAAAATCTCGTATCGAAAATTGACAAAAAACGATTTTCTATATATATATATATATATAGAAAACTTCGTTGAATTATATATATGGGCTAAAAGAAATTTATCATCTATCATCCTTCACTGGTGCCCCGCCGGTGTGTGCCGATGGCGCGGATGGGGTTACCATTCCATTATCATCCATAAAAAAAAACCACTTTCACTATTGGTATACTCTGGTGAATCACTAGTGAGAGATGATAGGTGAAGATGATAGCAGGTTAGTTGGCCAATCGTAACGAATTCAACAATAATTAATCACGATGGTTTCATGGTGGAACTGCATGGAGGTCGACCTGGCAGAGTGTTGATTGCTTGTGATATAGCAAGCTACATTCTCTGTTGTTAGTTCTTTCCTCTCTGATTATACATTATTTATCATTCACCAACATGCGGTACCAATGTACGATCAGTCTTTAATGCCATAATTATGGTCATAGGTCGTCATGGACTATTTATAACTTCTTATCGCCGCTGGATGCAGTCTTGTTTGTGATCAAATATGAAAATAATTGCTTATTAAACATAATTATTATGTGTCATTAAAAATTATGAATATGTATGCATAATGTATGACAAAATGTTTAAAACAGAATGAATAATCCTAAATAATATACATATTTTTTATGCAACTTGGAGTGGCAAACAAGCTGACGGCCCACCTCATGGGAAGTAATAACATAACAGAGTATACTCTAGCGCTTACCATAGCACTGCAATATCAGGGGTATTTTTTTTTTTTGATGGATGAAAATGGAATGGCAGCTCCACCTGCGCTACCGGCATACGCTGGTGGAGCACCAGTGAAGAAGGATGATCGATGAAAATGAAAACAGCCCAGTTAGCCCATCATGATGTATTCATCAGGAATTAACCATGATAGTTTCCAAGGGGAACCGCGAGGAGGTCGACCTGGTTGGGTATATTGCTAGCAATGGGATTCTCAGTCTCCATTAGTAACAATCCCATTCCCCCCTACCAGGGGTATTAGACGCGCGTTGTCGAGCCTGAAGAAACCTCTTTACCCCTCTTTTGAAGAACCCCAAGCTTTAGTCTCTTGGGAAAACCTCGACAAGGAGCTCATTCCATAACCTTAATGTTCGTGGAAGAAAACATCTCTGAAACCTGTCTATATGTTTATTATGGCATCACAGAAAAACTATTGCAACAAATTGTATGTGGTATTTACAGTTGTATTTCTAAAGTACTAATTTTGAATCTGGAATATATTTTATGTTAATATACCATCTAGATATCCATTTCTTTAGTTTCCTGCTTCTGAAATCCACGCGTACGACTTGGAAAACTATTTATAATTCCATTTAAAATACAATATACCACGTCTATGATGTAAATAGACAATGTAAAGTAGGAACACTGTTGTACACTCCAATAATTAAAGTCCATCAAGTTGTTTACATTAGACGTTGCGTCAAAGTTCCGGTCACATCAACATACGTGCATTAATTGCCCTATTTGCAGTCGAGTACTATTATATCATACTCGTTATAGTAATCTATCTATTCTATTTAGAATCTGCGCTCCTCTCGGTGGAGCTCTTGCCACTCACTAAGATTTTCAGCGAGTCTTTTCACTTCTTGATACGACACGACACCAACTCTTTCCTTGATCTGCCCGGATTTTCAGCGAGTCCTCTTGATATGACACGACACCGACTTCTTCCTTGATCTGCCTGCTGTAACTATTGGTCTCCATCTTCTCCTACTTCCTTCTACCTTCTATTATAATGTTCATAAGTTCGCCTGGTCGCATCAAGTGTTTTAACATTTTTCCCCTTCATAATAGTAAAAGCAAGTACATTTTGTTTCTCAAAATACAAAAATTCGACCGCTCTGCTAAAACAACAATATATTTTCAAAAAATTAATAGCCAGTGTCTCTCCAGATAATATATCTATTTGATACCCCATAAATAAGAACATGTTCAGGCATTTAGAAATTATAGTGGAATGAAAAAACTTACTTACATAAGTACTCTGTCATAATACTCTGAAAACATTACGCTTCTTTATGGGCAGTTGTGTACTAATAAGTAACCAGGAAAAAACATGTTCTACTGTTATATTTAATTAAAAGAATAAATGCGTAATTAAGACTTGGGATTACAATAAATTATACGAGGTATTGAGATTTCTAAACTTAAGACTAACATGAAACTTGCTTAATGGAATAGAATGTACGAAATATTCGAAAGTTACTTTTCTATCCATCTTACGAGATATCAACGAATTAACATTATCAAACAAAACTGGGGTCACAGTTTTGGATATAGTAATGTCACATTACATCATCCAATTCAATCCAAAAGTTAGAAGGAGATACAATGTATACCATATGGTCCCGATATAGAATAGGCCACCCCTTCCTTTCCCGTGAGTGTTGTAAGAGGCATCTAAGGGAATCGAGGAATAAACCTTATTGCGGTTGCCGACCCGTCTGCTAGACGTGACAACTACTGGCAAATCCCCAAAGAAGGAGAACCATGGTCAGCAGTGGACAGTTAATGACTGATATGATGAAGATAATGACAGTGTATTAAACCGCTGCACAGCCATACTCATAGTTGTAATATTTTATCTTATGCAGATTTTCAGTTCAAATAAATTGTTAACACTAACAACATTACAGGTACGTCTCCGTCCGGTGCTCATACAGAACCCTGGACCTTCGTAGTTGTTCAGGACCAATCAGTTAAAGAAGCCATCAGAACTATCGTGGAAGAAGAGGAAGAACTAAACTACACCCAGAGAATGTCCAGACAATGGGTGACAGATTTGAAGCCTTTCGCTACGAAGCATATAAAACCTTACTTATCGGAGGCACCAGCGTTACTTCTAGTATTTCGTCAAACACATTCCTGGAGAGCAGATGGGAAGAAAAAGATGCATTATTATAGTGAAGTTAGTGTAGCTATCGCGGCTGGAATTCTACTAGCTGCCATACAGGTTGGTATTTGTCCAAAACCTTATTTAAGAAAGGAAGACTTTGTACTAAAGTAATCTGCATAAATTTTTTGCACCAGTATTTCTGCTTTCTTGCTGCATTCAGGTTTAAATGGTTAAGTAATAATAGTAAAGTTATTGGGTATAGCGATTCCAGATCTTAAAGATATAAGAGTCGATGACGATGATGCCTTTGATATTGTATTAGCTGTAATTATGATATTTATTTCAGTACTGTGGCTTAGTGGCACTCACTTCGACACCACTTAATTGCAATGCCCGACTCCGGGAGTTGCTCTCAAGACCTGTCAATGAGAGGTTAGAGCTCCTGCTACCAGTTGGAAGACCGCATCAGAACGCTACAGTACCCGACCTATCGAGGAAGACTTTATCAGAAATTATGGTCAAGATCTGATTAAAACACGTGTAGTAATAATGGAAAAAGCAATGCAACCCCATTTAAGGGGCAAAAATTAGTTTATTCTACTATAAATTTGCTCAGAAACTTTCGTCTTATTAAGTCTTATTGTTATTACAATATAGTCCTTAAACGAATATTATTGGGATTACATTGAAATAGGTACAATGTAATATAGAAAATAATGTAATCCATGACGATAATAAAAAATTTTGTACTTATGTAATAGTTATAATTTTAAATTACCTTTTCGATAGAATTCTATTGTGCATTAATTTTCTGCATTATTACACAAAGTAAAAAACCCTTGCATTTAAAACATTTCGTCTGAAAACCAGAATTGGTTCTTAAAAGTATTGTAAGTAAACGAATACAAAAGTTAGATCTTTTATCCGTTCTTGCCTATAGAAATTATGCAGATAGTATTATAGTTTTTGTGCTCACTGTTAATTAAATTTGATCATATGGGGATGCCAATAATAGTACTGACACTGGAAAAGAAGGGTGGAAAGGAATTGTCAGTAATAGAGATTTAAAAGCTCAATCGTTAGTAATATACTCTACCAGATCGACTTCCATATGATTCTCTCTGGAAACAATCTTAGTTAATTTTCGGGGAATTTGACACAATGGCTCAATTGATCCACTTTCATCCTCACCTTTCATCTCTTATTCTTCACCATCATACGCCGAAAACGCAGACGCAGATTTTATGGCATATAGAATGACAAACAAACTGATGGACTGCATGGAGTATGATTTTTGACTTGAACTCGTCAACGCATGCGTGGTTCAAGGTAAATATTGCGTATAAAGATAACCAATATAAACACGCTTCAGATACTGTAAGATAAACACATCATCTTTTATATTATAAAGATACAGTACATTAGCAAGAATGCCGTGAAGTAACTAGAATGTTTATGGGAATATCTATAAAGATTGCTTATCAATTTCTGTCGTCAATAAATCTTCAGCTTGACTGCTACCAGTATTACTTGTTTCATAATATATAATGGGGTTATTTTCAAGGAGTGTGACACCTGTCCAGTATCAATAGATGCTTCAACTTGGCTTTCAACTTCGAGTCCCAATAAAAGGAATGGTTAATACTTTCTGGCAATATCAACTTTTTAGAATACTCGCAATTAAAAAAGTTCACCGAAAACTCACTTGCTGTTTTACCCAATGTAATCAGGATATCCACAATACACGGCTCTTGACCATTCAGTCCATTCTTCTGCTCACCTAATGATATCAGCCGTTAACTCTCTACTGCTGAACATAAGCAACTCTATTGGGAGTTTTGCCAGTAGTTGCCACGCTTGGCAGGTAGATGTTTTAAAAGGAACGCTGTTTCCCATCACTCGTTTAAGTTCCCTTAATCGCCTCTTACGACCCCTCGTGATAGGAAACGGTGGCCCATTCTATGCCGAGACCCCATGGCAATAAGCTACTAAAGTAAGTAAATAATATTACTATAAATTTAATCAACATCAATTTATTCCAAAATTTTAAAAGACATCACAAATACATTACAAAAATAGAATTGGACAAAACAATAGACGACAAAAACTACGAATGGCGTAATGATATGCTAACAGAGGATAACAAGACAATCCAATAATTTAATTCTAAATAGATACATAATAGTCAACAATAATATTCTAATGTTCTCTGCCATTTTCTAGCAATACGATTTTGAATATATAGGTTTTAAAAAATTAAAGATAATTTTATAGAGATTGCATTCAAAACAAATGCAAAGATTTCAAATTGTCGGATGGACACTTTTATAATTTCTCATAGCACGAAACAATATTATACGATTTTACCGTCACGATAAAATAGCAAAGTAGTTGGTACAATTGTACAAAGAAGTTTTAAAAATGACATATGCTGATAATGGTGAAAATATCATGGTCGTGCATAGAATTAAAGGTCTCTGTTCAGTTGCAATATATTTTGCTGGATTTCTCAAACTAGAGTAAGCGTATCACTTAGGGTACATCTGTTAACTATAGGGGGTATGTGACAAAATTGACGTGACAGCAGCAGCTTGGCAGATTTGCACGTATAACAAGCATAACGGACGAAATTCTCCAAAGAGCAAACTCTTCAAGCTGATATTAAAAAGATGTACATTGCTCTTTTTTACTTCTTTTTTAATAAAATGTTTTATTTGCTTTAACAATAGTCAGTATTTTAGACATGTCTGTAAATCCTAATATTGGCACATGAAACTGTAAGTTTGAGAAACCTTATATTACTGTGACGGTCAAATTAGTACAATGTACTGACCTCCTTTCAGAATAAAGCCGTAATAGTAGTAAACATTTCATTGTTAGGTGTAAATTATGATTTTATATTGGTGAAAGTGTTGTAAAGTACTCGTGTTTAGCGTCGACAACAGCACCGTCTCTTGCGACGGCAGCTGCGACGACGTTTGCGACTGCGACTGCGACGACGACGACGTCGAGAGCTGTGACGACGACGCCGACGACAGCTGCAGCGACGTCGGCGACGCCCGCAACGCTGCAAAATATGATTGTATATTTTTTAAACTATTTTTTATTTACTAACAAACATAGACCTAACAATGTCTGCTATAAGAAATAGTGACGAAACAACTAATACTAGGACTAAATGAAGCAACTTGGAATGAAAGAAGCTAACGGCCTATCTGATGGAAAGTGGTATTCGTTAGACATGCACTGCGGCAGCGTAGACTTCACAGAATACACCGTGATGCAGTCAGTATGCTTCATGAGTTGCCATTCCATGAAGACGATGGTGTTATGTCTCTGTACCCCGCAATTTCACTATCATATCCCATCATTCAAACTGAAACATAACCACATAGCCATCCAAGCCCAGTTGTTTAATGACAGAAACACATGTGTTATTGGGATACCTAACCAAATTACTTTTGTACAAAGTGATCTCGTATGGATATCCCAGGTAATGTGGGGAGAAGGGATTGTTAGCAATGGAGTTTGTCAGCCCCATTACTAACAATATGCCCTATTAGATCTACCTCCACTTGATTCCCCCTGGAAACAATCGTGAACAATTCTTTTTGAATTCGTCACGATGGGCTAACTGACCTGCTTCATCTTCATTTATCATCCCTCACTGGTGCCTTACCAGTGTATACTGATAGCGCGGTTGGGGTTACCATTCCATTATCATCCATTAAAAAGATCCTAGGTAATGTGTCTGAATTCTACATAACTGGATCCAATTTTAAAGCGCAAATAAAGCAAAAGAAAATACACTCCGTCGGTGCCGCCTCCGCCGGCTGCACCTGTCCGACGGTTCAGACCGCGACCTTGAGAGTGAACCTTTACGTCCCTGCATTTTTTCGCCTCCACGCCTGTGAATAATAAACTATATTTTACCTGAATGTATATACAGTAAACAGTAGTTGGGTGTCGTAAGAGGCGACTAAGGAAGGGCGAGGAGTGACCAGCAGCGTCCCTCTTAAAACATTTCTAAATCTTAAGTACGGTTGACAACCTGCCTGCCAAACGTGGCAACTATTGGGAAGGCTTATGTTCAGCACTGGACAGTTAAAGGCTGATAGATGATTTCTTAAAACTGGTGTTAGTATTCATTAATAGGGTTTAAAAAAATCCTACAAAATATCTTTGTATTACCAAATATTCTGTATATATAGATACTTACATAGATTTTAAATTTAAATAATTTTATACCAGAGGGAGACTACAAAAGTCGATTGCTTGGGTGCGTCTGTCCCATTCGTGTTTCAACCGTGAAGCAGTTGTTTGCATGGCTGTGTTTCGATTTGAAGGGTGGGATATGGCGTGAATTTACTGGGTACAGAGGAATAACACCCGAGTCCTCAGGAATGGCAACGCATGGGGGGGTATCATGGGCGAAACAGTATACTCTGTTATGTCCACGGTACTGCTCATATCTATAGGCGACGGTTACCACTTTCCATCAGGTGGGCCGTCAGCTTGTTTGCCATTCTAAGTTGTATAAAAAAAAAAGATTCATTATTATACCATATCAGCCGTTAACTGCCCACTGTTGAACATAGGCCTCTACCCTATTGAGTGTTTTTCCAGTAGTTGCCACGGTTGGCAGACGAGTTGGCATCCAAAGTTTAGCTTTGGTGTCGTTTTAAGAAGGACGCTGCTGCTCATCCCTCGACCATTAGATTTCCTTAGTTGCCTCTTACGGCACCAATGAGATAGAAGGGCCTATTCTATGCCAAGAGCATACGGCACATTGTTGCATTACAGACAGTAAAGGTACATAAAACTATCTAATTAATATTATAAATGTGAAAGTGTGTTTGTTTATTACCTTATAGTGTCTTGACGGCTAAGCGAATCACTGTGAAATTTAATATACGAGACACTATATGGGATAAAGAAGGATTTAAGCTACATTTATCCCAGTCAGTAAATATATCCCGGTCACGCGGACAAAGACGCGGGAAAAAGCTGGTTAATATTATAAACGCGACAATTTGTAATGATGAATGGATTTTTTTTTTTGATGATTGAAAATGGTATGGTAACCCCGCCTGCGCTAACGGGATACCATGATGGTTTCCAGGGGAAACCGCGTAGAGGTTGACCTGAGAGGGTACATTGCTAGCAATGGGGCTACTAAACCTCATTACTAACAATCCTATTCCCGCCTATTTAATATATTTGTATATTAGTAATTTTAACTGCTTACATATGGCGACGGTTACCACTTTCCATCAGGTGGTCCGGCAGCTTGTTTGCCATTCTAAGTTGTATAAAAAAAAAATATTAGAAAGAGAAACTAGCGCAATCATTTAAGTAAATTGTGTGATGGGGGACAATGAGTGGGTAGTAGAAAATACTTCTGCCACGGAAGCGGACACATGACAGCGCCCCATCAGTCTAGTCCTAACCACGGCCGGAGTAACACGGTTGAAACGTTGTGATAATACAGGTAAATTACCACAATTCATTTAAAAGATCGTGTTAATTCCCGTTTATTATAAACCATACAAAATGCAAGATTACGAAAGTTAAAACTACATACATACCTTCTATTCATACATTTTTCATTCATCTCAGAACTATCACTGAAACAATTTAAAAAATTATTTTAATTTTTCAAAATAGATAACAACAAAGTATAAGGACATAAACAAAAATAATATTTTATTTAATAAATGAATGATGACTTTATTTGCTTGAATACAGGTTATTACATTAGTAGTATTTAATATTAAAAAAAAAAGCATTCAACCGTGTGGCGTACAAATATTTAATTTTGGTACTTGTCCTTAAAATTGTACATTAAAATAGTCTTCAAGTGAGTAATAATATTTCTCAGTAAGCCAATTGTAAAGTTATTCATTATTATTTTTTAATTATTGTTGAATAAGAATTCATATATTGGGAGTATTATTTTTAATATTCTTTTCTTTTTATTTATTTTTTTAATAAAAAAAGTTTTCATTTGCTTTTATATCATTAAATATTTCTGTATATTTCGTGTAAACTTTACAGACCGACAACAGGAATAATAGGCTTACCAAATAAGTAAGTAAAATATAAGTACAGTCTGTCTCAACATAACTTAATCAAAATGTGGACAAAAAAATCATTTAATACACTTAATTGATCTAACCATAAGACAGTCAAACACTCATCAAAAATTGATCAACCGATTTAACGTATACATTTGTTAATAATTTCATTTAGAGAGTTTGAATACCAATATAACTTATGGGGGGAAAAGGGATTGTTAGTAATGGAGACTGAGAATCCCATTGCTAGCAATATACCCAACCAAGTCTACCTTCTCGCAGTTCCCCCTGGAAACTATTATGGTTAATTCCCGATGAATTCATCATGATGGGCTAACTGGCCTGTTTTCATTCTCATCTATCACCCTTCACTGGTGCTCCGCCAGCGTATCCCGTTAGCGCGGGCGGGGTTACCATTCCATTATCACCCATAAAAAAAAATACCAACATAACTTGGTTACCTTATATTAAATTTAATTAAACTAGACTATGGTGAGGGTTTGTTAACGAGCTTTAGTACGGTACTAACCGGAATATTCCACAAGCGGATCTTAGCGCGGTCTTTGGCATGTCGGCCCTTAAAAATAATAGAAAATATTACAGTACACCGAAACAAATCATTGGATATGGAGGTATTACACTCTAATTTCTAGGTATGGTGTTCTATGTGAAATATCTACTATGTGTGTTACAATATCACAGCGACACACGCACGCCCACACACACGCACGCACGGCACACCCATGTACACGCACACCTACACATACGTGCACTCTATCTTTATAATACCCAATAGTTTTCATTATTTATTTGTTTAGGTTATTTTAAACTTCCTGTTAATTTATAAAGGTATATGTGAATATTATAGGAAAATTTAAACGTTATTTCTAACCAGAATTGCATTATGCGGTCCAATTCTTAAACCAAAATTTAGGTCCAAAATAAAAAATTATAGACCAATATTAATAACAATTGGATGTCTGTTGCGTATAAGTAATGCAATAAAAGTTACTTTATTCTATATCTATATAAGTGCGGAACCTTCGTGTGTGTGAGTTCAACTCGCAGCTGACCGGCTTTATTTATTAATAATTAAGTAGGCTCAGAATTGTACTAAACTTAAGTGACCGCGTTCCTCGCCCCCAAGACGATCTGACCTATTTTTGAGACTGATAGCAATGCAGACTTTTTCATGGCGATACTGTCAAGTCTCTGTTGGTGGGGATGGGAGGGAGGGGGGGAGGCGCTGTTAATAAAGAAGTATATATTAGGTCCTTACATATGAAATTATCGTTTCTTTTTAAACTACTTAGAATGGCAAACAAGCTGACGGTCCATCTGATGGAAAGTGGTAACCGTCGCCTATAGACATGAGCAGTACCGTGGACATAACAGAATATACTGTTTCGCCTATGATACCCCCCCATGCGTTGCCATTCCTGAGGACTCAGGTGTTATTCCTCTGTACCCTGTGAATTCACGCTTGTAAATTGAGTGATTTCAAAGATGCTACCTCCCACGAACACTAATGAAGTTTCACAAGGGGTAAAGAGGTTTCGTCAGGGTCGACAATACATGCGTAACGTCCCTGGTATTGCAAATGTTCGTAGGCTATGATAAACGCATACCATGAGGTGGGCCGCATGTTTAATGTTTGTAAATGTAATTAAAAAAAAATATGTAAAGTGTCATGTGTTCCCGGCATAGAAAAGGCCATATCGTCATTTCCTGTGGGTGTTTGAAGAGGTGAATAAGGAAGGACAAATGATGGATAGCAGGGTCCCTCTTAAAATATTACCAAAGCCATTGCCAATCCGCCTGCCAAGCATGGCAACTACTAGCAAAACCCCCCTAGGGGAGGCTTATGTTCAGCAGTGGACAGTTAAAAGCTGATAAGATGATGATGAAGTAAGGCGGCCATCTTAAAGGTGTAACAAAATTACAAGTAACTTTCCAATATACAAATATAATGACACATGATTACATCAACTAAACAATATTTAATCATTAAACAGAGTTCATTAAACTCTGTTCTGATAAAAGGTGTTTTAAATTATTTTTGTTTATCAAAAAAATAATTTAAAAGACGCCTAGTATCCACATAGTAAAACCGGCAAATAAACCCATACATACATATATTGTACTAGCGTCCCGTCCCAGCTTCGCACGGGTGGATTTTTTTACAACATTTTATGTGGTTATTGTGGCATAACGACGAAGTTTTTTGTAGTTATTGATATTTTCTTCAATATTGTAAAACATACTATTGTTCTATCACCAATAGTTTCCGCAGCGCACGCGACGAAAGATATTTTATAACATTTTATTACACCTCGAGTTACGTTACTAAAGTTTTAAGTAAGGATCGCTAATCTTTTCTAGCAAGAAATATAGCCTATGTTATGTTACAGAGGGTGAATGTAGCTTTCTAATAGTGAAGGAATTTTTGAAATCGGCAAAGTAATTTTTAAGTTTATTCATTACAAACATACATACACACAAAAATACAATTTTTTTTTTCTTTATAATATTAGTTTAGATTTAGATGTAGATGTATACTAACAAATACAAACAAAGTGGACCCCTTGAGCTAAATTGATAGTGGATTCAAGAACGCTAACCAGTTATCTATAGTTTTCTCTCTCTGTTCATTAGCTGTCTTCTTTCTCGACGACGATATTCTTTGTTGGTAAAAATGTTCGGAACGACGCCGCGCGGCCGCCGCTCGACTGCGCCTGCGCATACCAAATAGCAATTATTCATACGGATCTAAATAAGTCTATTATTACTGTACAAGATCTGTACAATTAAGTTGTAAAGTATACAGATTGGCAATTTAAAAGAACAAAATATAAATTTGTATTATAAACAATGTCAATAATGGGATATAATAGCCCTATTGCTGTTTTTTTTTAATGGTGAAAATGGCATGGTAACTCCCTTTTTTATGGATGATAATGGAATAGTAACCCCGCCTGCGCTATCGGTATACACTGGCGGAGTACCAGTAGAGGTAAAAAGAAGGGGGATTGTTAGTAATGGGAAGATTAGCCTCCATTGCTATAAATATACCTTATCAGTTCGACCTTCACGCGGTTCCCCTTGGAAATCATCGTGATCAATTTATCTTTAAAATCGTCACTGTGGACTAACTGACCTGCCTTTTCACCTTTACCAATCATTCCTCACAATAAATTAGTCACGTTAGTTTATCAGGGGGAACCGCGTAGATGTCGATCTAATAGGGTATATTGATAGCAATGGGGACTAACCTCCCCATTACTAAAAATCTCCTCCCCTGCCCTATTGCTATTAATATACGGTATATTAATAGCAATAGGGCGACCTCCACGTGAATCCTCTTGGAAACCATCGTAGTTAATTCAATATGAATTCATCCCAATGGGCTAAGTAACCTCACCCATCCTTTTCACGGGTAACCTGACAGCATATACCAATAGCTCAAGCAAGATTATTACTCTATTTTCACTCATTAAAAAAAACCATCGATAAGAGTCGACACTTCGTCGCATCCCCTCTCGCGGGCTTAGAACGCCCTCTGCACTCGCTCCTCTACGCGTCCGGTGAAGTTGTAAACGCCATCTGTGGCCAATAGCTGTAAACCAAATCATAAATATAATAAAAAGCTTAGAGTCCCATACTTTCGATGTAAATCGACATAGGCGTGGAGGCGAGCCGAGTATCGCGGCTCTTCCGTCTCGCTCCTTTTACGCATAAACACGACCAGGTCATCGTTCAGTTTCTTCTTATCCCCCTCTTGTTCCATACCACAGCTGCAACACACCAATCCTCAACTCACCTTATTGTTTAATAGGTACTAACTGCTGGAGTGTGGGTCCTGGCATAGAATAGACCAGCCCTTTCCCGTGGGTGTCGTAAGAGGCGATTAAGGGAGGGCGAGGGATGGGCAGCAGCGTCCCTCTTAAAACATCTATAAAATCCTAACTGCGGTTGCCAATCCGCCTGCTAAGCGTGGCAACTAGTGGCAAAACACCCTTATGAGGAAGGCTAATCTTCAGTAATTAATGGTTGAAATAATAAACTGCTGGATCGATTTCAATTCATGATTACACGAGATACTAGACGTGGGCACAATATATATTGGGAGGACAGAATTGATTTTTTTTTAATGAGTGATGATGGAATGGTAACCCCGTCTGCGCTATCGGTTTACACTGGCCGGACAACAATGAGAAATTATAGGTGAGGATGAAAAGACAGATCAGTTAGCCTATCGTCATGAATACACCTGAAATTCAGCAATGGATTCCAGGGAGGACCACGTGGAGGCCGACCTGGTTGGGTATATTGGTAGCAATGGGGCCTTTAGTCTCTATTATTAACAATCCCTCCCCCTAAAGTAGGGATTATTAGGGTTTAACAGCCCTATTGCTAACAATATACACTATCAGGTCGATTTCCAAGTGGTTTCCCCTGGAAACCATGATTAATTTCCGGTAAATTCAACATGATGGGAAAACTGATCTGCTGTCATCCTCACCTGTCATCATTCACTGGTATCCCGTCAGTATGTGCTGAAAGTACATGCGGGAGTACCATTCCATTTTCACCCCATAAAAAAAATATATATCTATATATATTTCTATTGTAATTCCCCTGATACGAGTATTGCAGAAATTCATAAGCTACGGTGACCACTTACATGTCTATTTGCCACCTATGTGGTATAGAAAAAATAAAAATAAATTCAAAAGCAATTCATACCATTAAGCTGTCAGTACACAATAATTTTGTTACGTAAAAAAATCACAGAAACATTTTAGACACCATAACTCACTCATCAACACTCCATTGTTTTACATGTCATATTGTGACATACATCTAGATTTAAAAGGCGATTGTTACTGTCTTCTATTAAAAAGAAAATAAACCATTTTTGCCCAAATAAGTTTTCATGTTATTGTTTAATCAGTATTATTTTTTATGCAACTTAGAATGACAAACAAGCTGACGGCCCACCTGATGGAAAGATGTAACTGTCGCCTATAGACATGAGCAGTACCGTGGACATAACAGAGTATACTGTTTCGCCCATGATACTCCCAATGCGTTGCTATTCCTGAGGACTCAGGTGTTATTACTCTGTACCTCTCTCTTCTACCTCTCTTCCTCTTTTGCCCTCTATTTTTCCTTCTACTATGCTCTTTAAAAAATCGTTATGTCGTATAAGATGGCCCAGCATTTTGCCTCTTCTATTCTCTATTGTTTCCATTAAAGTTCGTTTCTCATTCACGTTTTTCAGGACTTCCTCACTCGTTACTTTTTCTGTTCAGCTTATCCTCTCCATTCTCCTCCATGTCCACATTTCGAATGCCTCAAGCATCTTTTTTTCCTTTTGCGTCATTGTCCATGTTTCCCGACTACTAATAATAATATTAGCCCTTAACTGTCCACTGCTGAACATAGGCCTTCTTTTGAAGGGGAGTTTTGCCAATAATAGACACGCTTGGCAGGCGGGTTGGCAACCGCAGTCAAGCATTATTCAAATATCTTTATTAAAAATCTTTATTGTACATAATTTATATTGGATACATTTAATTACTTAAATTTTTTCCTTAAATTTTTTCTATCATTTACATAAACGAATTTATCTTAACCAATTTTCGAGTGAACCCCTCTCCCCCCTCAACATTTATTCCCTTTTTAAATAAATAGGTTAATGGGCTTCCAGTCTTGAAACCATGTCTTAGCATTATGAAAGTATTTGTCCAACAAACTTAGACCTGCGGCATTGTCTGCCTTGACGCTTGTGGTTAAAGTCGTGTTTCCCATGTGTGTAAATATAAAATGTCGAAGTTAAAAATACGTGTTCGGAGCACATCGTTAGCTTCCGTCGACAATCGAGACTCAGTGGCCGACCGCCCGCCCGAGAACGGTGCGCGCGCGCACACTTGGGCGGCACGATTATTTCCTCAAAAAAAAAAAAAATCTTTAAACATACCATACAAACGGACACAATTCACAATAACTGTTTATATTATTTATTTACTTGTGTTATATAGTATGTGAATTAAAAATTGTTTATAATAGATATTACAAAAAAAAAAAAGAAACATTTGAAAGCTTTAATTTTATCGTTAGAATGTACAAAATGTGCGTTGGAATGTGTAAATTTTATACGTGAATGTATAAACACAATCGTGTCGTGTATGTGGTGTTTTACGTAACGTAAAATACATATGTATAGTGAATATTACTGCATTATCCGTGGATTAAGTATTTTATTTACATTATCTTCTAGTTTTAAAAATTATGATATTTATTATATAAATTCCTTTTTTTTTTTTGGGATAGATAAGTAAAATACAAGTATGCATTCCTCTAAATATCGTCCCATCGTCTCGCCAGTGGTGAACGTTTGCACGTGCGTTTATTTTCACTTATAAATAGATAACACCCAGTTGCAACATGACGTCACCAAAAGAAAGCAGTGACGCCATCGACGTCTACACTGACGACAAACAACGCCGCCAAGATATGCCAAAAGACTTGTCCGAACTCCCACCGAGCGGCACATCTTTGCATAAGAGAAGAAGGGGGGAGCCACCTGCTTCCTTGTCTGTGAAGTCTTCTCAGACCACTTCGGACCCTGAAGTTTCTCCGTGCACTGCTGGTGTAACGTCGTACGACTACCGAAGATTCCCTGAAGGAGACCTACCTGATCCAGAAGCATTATGCGAAAGCATGCTCCAAAGGTTAAAGGATCGGGATGACCCCGCCTCGATACGGGGCAAAGAACTAGCGATGCGAACTAAAGACACAGTAGATGCGATAGATCAGTTGGAAAAGTTGCTAGAGCTTCTGAACCAATTTGTCACGTTGAAGGAACACAATTCACGTCTACTCAAAAGACTAAGGGATGTGAACCATCTCAAGAATCTTCACAATGCTCATAAAAGAATAGATATGGAAAACGAGAGATTGAGAATAGAAGGGAAGGAGTTGGAGTTGATAAATGAGGCTTTGGACTCTGAAATAGAATGTGAATACGGTCAAGCCGTGTTCGATTCGTTAATGGCCAGTGGTCGGAGCGTGAAGAGATCAGGGTCGAAGTGGAAAGGTCACTCCAGGTTTGGGAGTACACTACTTAGAAAGCAAAGGTCAAGGTCAACCGGCGGTGAGGACAGCGACGCGCCCCCAGGCACTCCATTACGGAGACGCTCCGATGGATTATTCTCCAAGGAAGTGGAAAAATCCAAAGTTTCCAAATGGACAAGAGTGAAAGCAGCATTTAGGTCAGTATATTTTTTATACCACGAAGTCAATAAACAAGCATACAGCCCGTCTGATGGTAAATGGTCACTGTAGCCTATAGACGTCTGCAACACTAGGAGTGTTACGAACACGTTGCCGACCCTTAATGCTATATAAATACAAATTAATTTTCAAATATATGTATGTATGTAAGCACATCACTTCAGAATGGCTATGTATCTATTTGACTAATTCTTTTTGTATTGTTTGTATTAAAAAACTCTTAGAAAAATCGTTTGGAAAAGTGAAAATAATAAACCCGTGTGAAATCAGGCCGGGCAGTAAACTTTTAATAAAAAAATTTACCTAATATTTCCCGTGGTTCTGTCCGTGTACATGAGCCGTTTTAGCGTGACAAACATTCAAACTTCCTTACGAATTATCACATATATGATTAAATTTTATTTTTAACTAGCTGTTCCCCGCGACTTCGTCCGCGTTTCCGTCGTTTTTCGTAAAATAAGTAGCCTATGTCCTTCCTCACGGTTCAGTGGTTTTGATGTAACAGACACATTTTTCTTCACTGCTCTGCTCCTATTGATCGTAGCGTGATGAAAAGTACACTATAACCTGCCCAGGAGTATGAAAAATAATTGTACCATGTTTCGTTAAAATCCGTCGAGTAGTTTTCGTTTCTACAACGAACATACAGACAGACAGACAAAAATTATACTGATTGCATTTTTGGCATCAGTATCGATCACTAATCACCGCTTGATAGTTATTTTGGAAATATATTTCATGTACAGAATTGACCTCTCTACAGATTTATTATTATAGAAGATATAGATAACTCAATTTCGAATTCCGTAAAAATTGGTATAATGATGTAAGAATACCCAAGTCCATTCCAGTCCAGGTGATAAATACATTTTTTTATACAACTTAGAATGACAAACAAGCTGACGGCCCACCTGATGGAAAGTGGTAACCGTCGTCTATAGACATGAGCAGTACCATGGACATAACAGAGTATACTGTTTCGCCCATGATACCCCCCATGCGTTGCCATTCCTGAGGACTCAGGTGTTATTCATCTGTACCCTGTAAATTCACTCCCATATCCCACATCAAGGTAGAAACACGAATGGGACAGAAGTGGCCAAGCAAACGATTTTTGTACAAAGTCTCTCTAGTTTTACCTCTCTACCTATACATTATAATTTAGAAATCTTAAAAAGACATTTCAAAAGGTATCTAGTAAGCTAACATAGCGAGAGCGGAAAAGGATTGTTAGCAATGGAGTTTGACAGCCCCATTGCTAGCAATATACCTTATTAGGTCGACCTCCACGTGGTTCCCCCTGGAAACCATCGTGAACAATTCTTGTTGAATTCGTCACGATGGGCTAACTGACCTGCTTCATCCTCACCTATCATCCTTCACTGGTGCCCCGCCGGTGTATATATAGCGCAGGTGGGGTTACCATTCCATTATCATCCATTTAAAAAAAAATATATAGCGGGAGCAATCGAAGAATCTTATTAGTATAGCAGATGCAAAAGTTTCTAATGTATGGGTGTATGTTTGTTACTCTTTCACGCAAAAACTACTAAATGTATTTGAATGAAATTTGGTACACGCGTAGATTATATCTTAGCCTAGCGCATATGATATCTTACCTACTAATTCACGAGGGGAAAGTTGCGGAATACAGCTAGTTAATTACAATTACATTACATTTACATCTGTTAGAATTGTATTTACCATCACATTATAAAAAAAAATGAAAATTTTATGTTAAAGTTAAAGAATTTGTGATAAATACAAAAAAAAAAACAAAATACAAACAAATATTACGTTATTTTTTGTATAGTATGGTATGGTAGGTACAACGTTTTGGTTTTGACACATTTTTTACTATTGTTATTGTCTCGAATTTTTTTGTTATTCATTTTATCGTTTCGACACTAAATACATTCATTAATTTGGCACAAATAAGGTGATATAGAAAGTTTATCGAGCACTCAGAAATGGCAACGCATTGGGGGGTATCATGAGCGTAACAGTATACTTTGTTATGTCCATGGTACTGCTCATGTCTATAGGCGACGGTTATCACTTTCCGTCAGGTGGACCGTCAGCTTGTTTGCCATTCTAAGTTATAAAAAAAAAAACTCAAATCCTCTAATTGCAAAGTTGTGTGAAATTGACAGGAGGACTTGACTAGCGCATTTGCTAATGGATTGTTTTCGTAAAGCATCGAAAAAACATTGGCTTTTCCATTCTTTAAACTGAAATAGATTAGATGTGGGTGTATTCTGTGGTTTATTGGTCGAACCAAAAATAGATATTAGATTGAATCGTTATTGATAATTTTGGATTTATATCAATCACTGTAATTCGGCTTATTATATAAAGTATTATATAATTTGATATTGTTAAATAATATTAGTCTGAAATCGATTAAAACTATAATAATAATAATAATAAACTCTTTATTGCGCACAGTAGAGATGTATACAAGGAGTATTTATACAGAATGTGCATATACAAAAGGCGGCCTTATCGCTAAAAGCAATCTCTTACAGACAACCTGGCATAAAGAGTGGATAAATACAGAGAGAAAGGTAGATGGCGCTAGTCAGACACAGTAAATGCAAAATATTTTTTTTTATTTATTTATGTTATTTTATTTATTTATTTTTAGATAACTGGGATCCATTCTTGTTAGTAAGTGTACTTAAAAACTATGTTAATACTTAATTACTAATAATGATCTAGTCCTCTCGGAGAGCATTTTCACGAGAGGACTATCCAATTTATTAACAAACATGTTCAGGATACTGTTGCTACTCCCGCGTATTCGACGTAAAAACGAAGCTGTCTTTTTTCGCCAGACTGCGTCAAAACTATCTGTTTTAAATACAAAAATAAGATTACAATACATAAACATACATATATAATATAAATACATACATAAATAATACATAAACATAAATATACTGAATAGATCAAGATAAATCACACATAGTAAACGTCAAAGCAAATTAGATATATAGGTAATAACTATATACAGTGGTACTTCGATATACTAGTTTAATTCGTTCCGTAACTTTGCTCTTATGTCAAATTGCTCATATCTCAAAGCAATTTTCCCTATTGAAATTAATTGAAATACCATTAATCTGTACTGTGTTTCGGTTTGAAGGGTGGGATATGGCGTAAATTTAAAGGGTACAGAGGAATAACACCTGAGTTCTCAGGAATGGCAACGCATGGGGGGTATCATGGGAGAAACAGTATATTCTGTTATGTCCATGGTACTGCTCATGTCTGTAGGCGACGGTTACCACTTTCCATCAGGTGGGCCGTCAGCTTGTTTGCTATTCTTAGTTGTATAAAAAAAAACTTCCAAAAAACCATCTCAGTTGTTTTTGTTAAGTGTTAGCCTGAGATGGAAGAAACTGTTAGACACCAACATCCACCTCGCGTGTTGAAATCGTGTACGACGTTGCAGTGTGCGATTCCCCGTATCTCAAATCTTGCTCTCATCTCGAAGCAAAATATCGCTCGCTCGGCGGCTCGTGTCTCGAAACATTCGTATATTAGGGCACTAGTATATCGAGGTACCACTGTATATATATGTATACACACACAAGTATATATATACTTACTATATTACCGTGTGGTACCGGCATAGAATAGGCCACCTTTTCTTTCCTGTGGACGAGGGATGACCAGCAGTGTTACTCTTAAATCGTCTCCAAAGCTTAACTGCGGTTGTCAATCCACCTACCAAGCGTGGCAACTACTGGCAAAATATATATAAGGCGAACTTAATGCTATATAGCATTGTCTACCAGTAAACTTTTGGCAAAATAGAAATGTAATTATGCATAATGTAATTATTGGAAATTATTTTAAAATAAACATAATTTATTTAGAAACTCTCTTAAATCTTTATATTTCGATGATTTTATCATTTGGATACATAACTACAGTCAACATTTTTTTTTCTTTTCAGATGGGAAAAAGCTCAATGGCCATCGTCTACGATAGGGGGCGCCGCGGGTGCTGTAGCCGCCGGAGCCATGATTGGGGTGGTCGCTTTGGCAGGATCTTCTCCGTCATCAGCTACCCTCCCCAATCCCGACACCAGGGATTCAGCCAGCCTCACCCCCGGCAGCGCCCTCTCGCTGACACCAAACTCTTCATGTGAAGAATTAAGAATGGACTCAGGTAATTAGTAATCTCTTTAACTATAGAAATAACCGGATGGACTTGCGTCTATTTTCAACCAATTTCGAAAAAGGAGAAGTTTTTCATTTGTTGATTTTTTATTTTTTATGCAACTTAGAATGGCAAACAAGCTGACGGCCCACCTGACGGAAAGTGGTAAACGTCGCCTATAGACATGAGCATTACCATGGTACTGTACAGAGATTTTGTACAAAGTCTCACTCTGGTAAATATTTGTATTTAGCCAATTATTGATTATATATAAGTAATTTAGCCAATACATATTTTCCAGAAAGGAGTCCTTTATTTTATTTATTAATTTTTTTAAAGTAGCTTACAGCTATTTGAACCTAATAATTATATATATATATAACAATAATAAACCATTTAAAAGCTATCGTATATAGTTTTTTTTTATTGGATGAAAATGGAGTGGTTACCCCGCCTGCGCTAATGGGATACGCTGGCGGGGCACCAGTGAATGGTGATCGATGAGGATGAAAACAGGCCAGTTAGCCCATCATGATGAATTCATAAGGAATTAATCATGATAGTTTCCAAGGGGAACCGCGAGGAGGTCGACCTGGTTGGATATATTGCTAGCAATGGGATTCTTAGTCTCCATTACTAACAATCCCTTTTCCCCCCACCGTATATAGTTAACGAAAATTGAAATTTGGTACAGTTTAGATAATTAATGTGTGGGTAAACAAACAAACAAACATCATCAAAGACATTGGGTGAATAATTTACAGCAATTTTCTTATTCTCCTTCATCTATTATGGTGTTATAATCATCACTTCAATCCATTGATTCTTGTAACACATGAAGTCCATGCCGCTGGGGGTCTTTGTTACGGATGAACAGAGAATGGTAATCCCCAATACTCGATTAGTTTACGTTGACAGGACTAGTGGAGAATTAAAGACAAGAATTAAATCAGGCCACTTGACCTATCGTCGTGACTTCGATAAAAATTAACCTCGATAATTGAGACTTCCGTATATAAGATAATGAGACTAGTGTCCCCATTGCCAACAATCCTTTTCTCCTCTCTCTTTATGTGGTCCTGGCACAGAATTAGCATCATCTTCCTTTCCCGTAAGTGTCGTAAAAGCGACTAAGGGAACTTCTAGTCGAAGGATGGGCAGCAACTTCCATCTTAAAATATCTGTAAAACCCTAACCAGCTTATCAAGCTTGGCAACTACTGGCAACTCTCCTCAAAGGAAAGGCTTATGTTCAGCAATGGACAGTTAACAGCTGAAATAATGATAAATGAAGGAGCTAATATAATAATAACTTAAATAAATTATTTAAAAATATTAAAATACTCGTTTTATACTTAGTCTATTTGCCAACAGGGGTGTGCCGTAAGAGCGGAGTGTTAAGATGCGACGAGAATGACAATACGTTTTTGCATGCACCTGTACAGGTAACTATTTTGTCACTACACTAGCTTTTACCCGCGGCTTCGTCTACCTGACCGATATATGTTAATTGGTCGAGATAATAAAAAGTAGCCTGGTTTAAAAGAGGCCTCTGTTCATCTCCATACGTACATAGTAAATGTGTATCAAATTTTATAACAACTGATTTAAGCCTTTAAGGTGCCAAGAAACAAAAAAACAAAGGCATTTATAATGTTAGTCCTTACTAATATTTTGATAAACTGTTTTTATGCCTTACACTCTGTAATCACTGTCATAGCCCATCTTTCAAACTGAAATATAGCCGTCAAGTGCGACTGTTTTACGGCAGATACACGATTGGGACAGAGGTACCCAAGTAGACAGCTTTTATACAAAATCATCTCGTTATAAATCACATACAAGTTTATCCCAACGAGTGGCGGTCCTCCACCGTGCGTTTTTCAAGGCACTTTCTTCCACGCACAACCACTCTTTGGAATCAACTTCCAGCAGCGGTATTTCCGAACCGATACGACAACATAACCTTCAAGAAAAGAGCATATTCCTTTTTTAAAAGGTCTGCAGCGCATCTGCAATACCTCTGGTGTTGCGGGTGATCATGGACGGTTGGAGTCACTTACCATCAGGTGAGCCGCATGCTCGTCCTGTGTTGTCAAAAAAAAATATAAATTAATCTTACGCCACTCGATTCATAGCTAAGAAATATCAACCAACACAGCACTCAGCACTGTTTTCCTCAGTAATGGACGCTTGCGATCACGAAAAAAACCAGGAAAAACATTTATTATTTATAGAAACATGTTTTTTATTTATATTCTACGAATTCTTTTAGTTTCATAAAAATATTTTTATAGCTGATGTATAAGATGTATATCAGAAATATTATAAATGTGAAAGTGTGTTTGTTTGTTTGTTCGACCTTATAGCGCCTTAACAACTTAACCATTCACTATGAATTACTCAATTACTCCTCTCCATCCAAAGGTTGCCTGGAAGAGATCGCTTTTAGCGATAAGGTCGCCCATTGTTGTCTCATTGTGATTATTTCTTGTAATTGTTTATATTTATAATAAGTTTACTATTGTAATCTTTTGGAGGAAACAATAAAGAGTATCTATCTATCTATCTATTTATGAAAATTGGTCTACACGTACTAAGAGTATATGGAATGGAAAACAACATAGACTTTTTTTTTTTTATACAACTTAGAATGACAAACAAGCTGACGGCCCACCTGATGAAAAGTGGTAACCGTCGCCTATAGACATGAGCATTACCATGGACATAACAGAGTATATTTATTGTTGTGTGTACAGACTACATTCTGTCCCGGACAGTAAATATATCTCGGTGACGCAGACAAAATCACGGGTAAAAGTTAGTAATATCATAAATATGAAAGTTTGTAAGAATGGACAGATGTTTATTAATCTTTCATACCGAAACTACTGAACGGATTTGAGTTACCAGAGGGAGACGTACAAAAGTCGTTTGCTTGGGTACCTCTATTCCATTCGTGTTTCAACCGTAAAGCAGTTGTGTTTGCATGGCTGTGTTTTGGTTTGAAGGGTGGGATATGGCGTAAATTTACAGGGTACAGAGGAATAACACCTGAGTCCTCAGGAATGGCAACGCATAGGGGGTATCATGGGCGAAACAGTATACTCTGTTATGTCCGTGGTATTTCTCATGTCTATAGGCCACGGTTACCACTTTCCATTAGGTGGGCCGTCAGCTGATTTGCCGTTATATAAAAAAAAAATTAGTTATATCCTTACTTAGTATATAAGATGCTTTATGTACTAATTCACGCGGGCGGAGTCACAGAACACAGTTAGTATTATATACAGGGTCAGTCACAGAATTAATGAAAGTGAACTATTTGCCACAAAAAGAACAATTAATGTCGGATAACATTTTTCAATCAAGATCACGTGACTTTGTATGTAAGTACATACAAAAATCACGTGATCAGTATTTGATTAATGTAATTTCAATGGATCTTTAAATTAAACAGGACGATAGTTCAACTTCACCATCCCCAAACAAACTCCATAAGAGTCCATGGGTGAAGATGCGTGATATCATCCAAACACATCGGGATTCTGTCAAGAAGAAGTCCAGAGGGTCCAAAAGCTCTCCAGACGTGGTGCCCATGAGAAGAAGATCGTTTAGTGATGGTGGGGACAGCGATGCACCACCAGCTCTGACGCTCACCATACCATCATCAGAAGAACTTGGTAAACACTTAATTTTTTTTTAATATTTTTTTAATCGTTTATTAGTGCATTATGTGATTATAAAGTTTTTAAATACGAGTACATTAATTAACAGTGTTCTATATGAACCCTATTAGGGTGTTACAAATTACATATATAATCATTAATTATACATTTACAACTGTCCACTGCTGGACATAAGCCTCTCATAAAGTGGACTTTTGACAGTAGTTGATACAGGTAATCATAGTCTATAAAATTATAAATTAAAATATCCTTTCTAAACTACATAACTTAAAGATTGGGGATATATAATTATGGCATTTTATGGTGGTTTAAGGAGCCTAGTTCGTTGTTGGATTATTTTTTTATACCATATATGAAGTGGCAAACAAGCATACGGTCCGTCTGATGATAAGCGGGTTACTGTAGCCTATAAACGCCTGCAATACCAGGGGTATTACGCGTTGTCGACCCTGAAGAAAATTCTTGCAAAAACCTTGACAGGGAGCTCATTCTAAAACCTGAGAATTCATGGCAGGAAATATTTTTGAAACCGCACTGTACCCTACCATCCTCATCGTTAATAAAACATTATTTAGAGTCACAAATTACACGAAATATATCATTACCATCACGTCAGCCGTTTATTGTCCACTGTTGAACATAGACCTTCCCGTATTAGGGAAGTGTTGCCAGTAGTTACCACGTTTGGCAGGCGGTTTGGCAACCGCAATTGAGCTTTGATGGAGTTTGAAGAGCGTAGCGTAGAGTCCGCTACTGCCCATCCCTATGACATTAAATTCCCTTAATCGCCTCTTACGGTACCTACGAGAAAGGAAGGATGGTCCATTCTATTTCGAGACCACACAGCTAAACTATATACTGTATAAAATACATTTCTACAATGTATAATAAAACCTAATTGCAGATATCATGAAGTATACGAATTCACTCCTGATTGTTAATAATTCAATCTATCCAAACATATCTCCAAATACTTGTGCTTCTACCGGCAAGCAGCTATGCTTGCATGATGCATTTTGGTTTAAAATGAATGAATTTAGTGAGTATATAACATGTTAGTCCTCAAAAATGGCAACACATGAAGAGTACTACAGACGTCATAGTTTATTCTATGATGTTCATAAGCCACGATTTCCGTCAGCTTGTATACCATCCTAAATTAAAAGTACCCCTTTACCTCCAATTTCAAGATAGGATTTCACCCTTCAGAATCTGAACCTTCGCACCCAGTGCTCCGCAAGCAGAGATCACTGGAGCTGGGCGCTCGTCCTCCCCAGCACAGAACTCCTCGCACCTCTAAGTGGACCAAAGTGAAGAGGGCTTTCCTCACGTCGGCGTCCGCATCTGTACCTTCCAGTCCCAGTCGCCACTCTGCATTTTTCACTGACGCTGGTAAGTCTCTCTTTTTGACATTATATGTCTTTTTATCTTTTATTAATATTTACAAATATTCAAAATTTACCCACAGTAAAATATTTGCAGCATAGCAAATAAACTATGTACAAACATACTAACTATATCCTGCAACTTTGTTCTCGAGATTAAGACATTTTTTTAAAAGATAAAAATAGAATGCTTATTACACATATGGTGTACGCTGACGGACACGGAGAATTACGAAATCACTAATAGTTTACCATAAAGCTTTCCAAAGAAATCAATCTAACTGGGTCTTTTTAAAAGACTTAGAATAGCAAATAGGCTGACGACCCATACGATGGGAAGTTCCATCGCCTCCAGATTTGAAGCAACATGGACATCATAGAATACTCTGTGACACTTATGGTACTCCTCATACGTTGCCATTCTCGAATTCTACAGTGTTATGATTTTGTATCCTGTAATTTCACTGTCATATCCTATACCTTCAAACTAAAACACAACAATACAAGCACAATTGCTTCAGAGCAGAAACACGAGTGGGACAGAGGTACTCATTTAGATGATTTTTGTACAAAGTCTCTGTCTGATCATCATCTTCCTAACCTTATCCCAATTATTATTTGGGATCGGCGTAATATGTTTTTATCCATATTACAGAAAGATTTAGGCTTATAGTTTTACGACTAGCCTACCTGACGTCAACCCTCTTTGGAAAGTCTCTCTACGGTATAAGAGTATATTAAGAGCAATTGAACTGCCAGACCCAAAAAATAACTATTCCGGCTCCACATCGAGTGGATTATCACAAATTATTATAAGTCGGTTGCTTTTGTAAAGCGTTCCAGATATTTTTTCCCATAAGCATACTCGTATATTCTACCGTAAACTAAAATATCATACGCTGACGGATTGTTTGCCAGTCTCTCGACACTCCACATATAAAACTGGAGTGATGGATGTATACTATAAACTGTTATAACTGCAAGACGCAATCCGGCCTCACTGAAATAGTTTTAAAATAATGTCGTGCTAACAATGTTCCAATTCGCTCAAATTTTTGTGGTAAAATTTCACTCACTTCGTTACACTATTTTGCAAAATATTTTAGCAATGTAATATCATCATGTCAGCCGTCTGTCCATTGCTGAATATAGGCATCTACCTTGGGGGATTTTGCCAATAGTTACCATGCTTGGCAGGGTTAGCAACTGCAGTTAAGCTTTGGTGATATTTTAAGAGAGACGCTGTTGATTTACTTCTATTAGGTTGACCTCTACGTGGTTCCCCCTAGAAACCATCGTGAACAATTCTTGTTGAATTCGTCACGATGGGCTAACTGACCTACTTCATCCTCACCTATCATCCTTCACTGGTGCTCCGCCGGTGTATACCGATAGCGCGGGTGGGGTTACCATTCCATTATTATCCATTAAAAAAAAACCCTCCCCATAGCGCACTGAGTAATTTGAAGCTTTTGCATAAAGGCAACCGTAAAGAACTATATTTCGGTTCCATAATTATTAATATTATTTTCTCAAATATGCTTGGAAATGTGAGTATTATTTTGACAATCTTCTTAGAGATAATCAAAATTGCCGCACTGACCAGATACATGCAGGTAGCGGCCGGCAAAAGTTGTATGAAAATCCATATCTGTCGTGTTTTGCGGCCAAATAAATTACTATGTAAACTCATATCTGTCCTGTAATTTAAAAATGGAATGACCTTTTACTTCGAAACATGGCTACCAAGGAGGTAACTAATATAAGGTTTTATTAAATTTCGAACTGGCTTGCAAATAGAAAGCTGTTTATTGAAAAAAAAAACAAAGGACCATTATGGCGTGTGAAAAATTATTATTGTTCGTTATTCGTTACTCGTCATTGAACTTAAAAAGTAAAATTGTGTTTTTGATTTCCGCGCATTGTTTGAGAAAAGTGCTATACAAGCCTAGGCCTCAACTAGGCATTGATGGACTCATGTATGTGTGCCTCGGCTACGCCTCGGCCCACATTTACACGTTCGTCCTTCAATGCCTCAGTTGCTGGCCGCTGCAGTAATGTACTATTAACGTCTACTAATCGAATGGAAACAATAATATTGTTAATACGAATGATTTGTTCCTATGTATGTATTTTGGTAGCATTACTCATGAACTATTTAAGTGGTGTTTTAGTGTCGATAGTTTACAAATCGCGTCATCGAGAGCCTTGGCGTGTGTGTTATTAACAGTAATCGATACAGTTTATTCGATACAAATGCGAGTTGCGATTAAAATATTCGAATGATGGGTTACGGTCAGACTGTTTGTCTGTTGATGTTTTCATAAAATCTATTAATATATAATAACGAATACAATGAAGATGGTAGGATTGTTGTAGCTTTGTTGAATCTTGTGTATTTGGCCCAGATGTAGGTACCACTTAGCTATTTCTGCTGTGAAATAGCAACGTGTTGTGTTTCTGTCTGGTGAGTGAAATAGCGAAAATAATTACTATCACAAAATTCACAACATCAATCCCCTGGAAAGGATTGTTAGAGTAATGTGTTCTAACAGCCCCATTAGGGGGGAAAGGGATTGTTAGTAATGGAGACTGTGAATCCCTATGCTAGCAATATACTTAACCAGGTCGACCTCCTCGCGGTTCCCCTGGAAACTATCATGATTAATTCCTGATGAATTCATCATGATAGGCTAACTGGCCTGTTTTCATCCTCATCGATCACCCTTCATTGGTGTCCCGCTAGCGTATCCCGTTAGCGCAGGCGGGGTTACCATACCATTTTCATCCAATAAAAAAACAGTCCCATTAAGGGAAATTATTGCTAGTAGTGCCAACTACTAGTCCCATTACTAGCAATATAATTTAGCACGATGGTTTCCAGGGGGAATCACGTGGAGGTAGACCGGATAGGGCATACCGCCAGCAATGGGGCTGTCAAACTCCATTGCTAGCAATCCCATTCCCCCCGCGCGGGCGGGATTACCATTCCATTGTCATTCAGAACTGATTATTTACGGCTTAAATTATAGCATACAGATAAACAATAGCTGTGTATATTTGCAGGGATGTATGCTTTGCGAGATTGTTTTTGCATGTGTTTCCGTAAAATCAGGAATTTAACACTATTTGCCAAATATTGATTTCCTTGTTTCTGTGAATATCCAAGTCTTCATTGTAACAAAGCGGGTTATTCTTATACTTTATTGTACACAAAATATAATGTTAACCACAATTCATTATAAACATAATGTACAAAGGCGAGCTTAACTCTAATGAGAGATTTCTTCCAGCAAACCTTTTCATGTAATTTGGATGTTATTTTAAAAAATAAAAATGGGCAGTCATGCGATCTGCGTACATTGTATAAACACATTCATAAGATATGAATACATAAAGAATAATACAAACTACACATTATAAATTACATAAAATACATAAACCCTGTAAACATATACATACATACATATATATATATATATATATATATATATATATATATATATATATATATATATATATATATATATATATATATATATATATATAATTATTGTTGTTGCTTACTACCTCACAACATAGGTCTTTTAACTTTCTTAAATTTGAACAATTACAGTATTATATTAAACATTTATTTATTTATAACATCTGAGTCCTGAGATAGGCACCTCTGTCCACGAATAGGACAGAGGTGCCCGACCAATCGACTTTTGTACAAAATCTCCCTCTTTTGAAGTCGATTGAAAAAAATAGCAACAACCTTTTTTTTATACAACTTAGAATGGCGAACAAGCTGACGGCCCACCTGATGGAAAGTGGTAACCATCGCCTATAGACATGAGCTACTTTCCGATAAGCGGAATCCGCGATATACAAAAAGCGCAGAAGTCCCCGCGCCTGATATCCGTTTGCGGTGCTCGTCCATTAAAAGTTGGCGCAAGGCCAGACAGGCAAATATTAATAATTAGAAACCTAACACTGCCAGGGCATTAACCTCCGTTATCGTTTTGACATAATTAACACGGGAAAATATGAAATATCACTACATATTTGAAACTCCTCACCGCGTCTGTCTGTATGTATTTATTTATTTAAACTTTAATGCACAGTGAAATTCTATCTATGTAATGTACATATGTCGTTTTTTTTCCATTTTCGAGAACACGTTCCGACACGAAGCAGACAAATTACTACATTCAGAGGAAAACAAAAGAGAATCGACGATTTTTTTCTTTATTAATATTACAAATATGTATTTGAGCTATGCCTGCCTGCCAGTGTTTTTTTATTTTATTAAGAAATTCTATTATTTCTAAAATATAGAGATGTGATACATGTAATAATGTAAATATATATGTAAATAAATTGTACATTATATTTCAAATGAATTGTAGTTGACATTAGATTTTTTTTATCGAAGCATTTGGCGTTCCATTGTTTCTGCCTACCCTAATGGGAGGCAGGCGTGACAGGTATGTATGTATATGTAGATTTTGTGTACAATAAATATATATTCCTACTCATACTACTATATATATATATATATATATATATATATATATATATATATATATATATATATATATATATATATATATATATATATATATATATATATATATATATATATATATTATAGGGTAGGTAGTAAAATACATTAAAAATATTCTAAGTTGTATGGTATGTATATGTTATAATCAAACCTAATTAATACTCGGCGCAAACTGATGCAAGAAATGTAAGCATGTTATGTCATTCGCATGTTGTACTACCCGTGAGAAGCCGGGTCGGCTGCATAGTTTCATATATTTTACTACAATATGCTCTTGTAATGTAAACATGTTATTTAGAGCAGAAATTATAACACCTACCTAGTTTAAATATAGAAAACAATTTACATAAATGTAAATGGCATGCGTGGTCATATTTCGGTTTGAAGGGTCGACATTTGGTAGTTAAATTACATAGTACAAAAATATAATACGTATTATTCCTTGGAGATAAATG